CTATGCAGTTCAGATTGGCCTTGAACTCACAAGGATCCTCCTGCTTCAATCTCCTGAGTGCTGGGGTAACGAGCATGTGCCCCCATGCCTGGCCTTACGAGCGCTTGTGTAACCCTATTTTTTGCCACATATCCAAATGCAATACATTCTGTGGATGTGTGAAAAGGAAAAAGTAGTTTTGGGGTGCTATCCTTGTGACGTCTCCAGCTCTCCAAGATGGCACCCTCCAAATGGAAAAACCAGTAATCCTAGCTCCTAGGAGGTCCAGATGGGATGGTGAGTTCAAGGCCATTCTGGGATACAAAGTGAGACCCTGGCTCAGAAACAACATAGCCCCCTTCATGGGAAAAACAGATACCTACATGAGACGACAGAAACATTTTTCCACGAGAAAAATTGTCTAACATTTACATACGGCCTTAAAAATCAACACATTCAGCCAAGCAAGGTGGAGCGTACCTGTAATACCAGCACTCTGAAGGCTGAGGCAGGAGGATCACTGTAAGTTTAAGGCCAGCCTGGATTACAAAGTGAGTTCAAAGCCAAGCTGCACTGCTAATCAAGACCCTGGCTCAAAAAAACAAAAGAAAAAAAAAAGTAAAAAAGAACTCAGTGTACTTCCAGATTGTATTACTTAATTTGTCACCATAATTCACTGTCCCGAGGACCCCAGAAGAGGTAGAGGGCTTCAGACAGCAGCAGCGTGGCTTGTGTCCGGCCTCATCCCCTCACTGTTAAGACTGATGTCCTGTCTTTCCGGCTCTGATATGGGGCTTGTCGCCGGCCATCCAAGCAAGCACTCTGACAGCCTCTAGAGATGACAGGACGTGAGCTGTATTAACACAGGGCGCCGAACAAATTAGAGAGCGTTTCCGTATTATGACAAGGCGGGCAACAGCTGTCACTGTCCCCAAAGTATTCATTATGGGGCCGTTTGTTTAAAAGTTGCCCTGCTGGCGTGGAGACAGGGCCTGTTGCACGGTGACTCACAGGAAACAAAAGTAAGTTACTCTCAGGTGATGACCGTACTTAGAAGCCAGACTAAAAATGAGAAAGCGGTCATCCCCGGGCAGCAGGCGACTGGCTCCACTTTTCAAACTGGAAAGGCTTTTGAGAAGTTAGGATTTTCTTTATGTCATGCACGTTTTTTCTAAAATATTTATCAAACATTTGTTGAATAATTACAAAATGCCAGTTTCTTTTATGGGGATTGAGCCCAGGGCTTTTTCAAAGAGCTATCTCCCCAGCCTTTTTATTTTTTGAAACAGGGTCTTATTAAGTCACTAAGTTCCCTAGGCTGGGCTGAAACTTGCCATTTTCCTGTCTCAACCTCCTGGGGCGCTGGGATGACAGGCATGGGCCACTGTGCCCACCTCAGGGTGCCGATCTCTGTGCTTGGAAGCACGTGAAGGGCAAGCATATGGTCTCTGTTGTCCAGCGGTCCGCAGTGTGACAGGACAAACACACGTGCGCCCGTGCATCTGTGGACAACTCGATGAGAGGAATCAGAGCACCAGACCCAAAGGAGCCATTTACAGGGGTGTGGGTTGTGAGCCCCGTTTCCAGGGCAAGAGACCAAGGTTCCAGTCATTCTTTGCCTGCCTCATTGCATTCACAAAGTCCGGTTGGCTTCCTGCTCTTTCTTCCAGGCCAGGGCAACTCAGCATCGCCAGAGGGCAGGAGGCCTCCCCAACACTCTGTGTTTATGCTGAGCACAAGTGCGAAACAAATTTCTTCACCCCCCACCAACACTGACTGCATTTCATTTTTATTTTTGGAACCAGGAATTAAACTCAGAACCTTGCGCTTGCCAGGCAGTCGCTGCGCCGCCGAGCTCTATCCCTGGCCCTTTGTTTTGTTTTCTGAGACAAGGTGTTGCTATGTAGTTCAAATTGGTTTTGAACATTGGGTTTGGTAGTGCACGCCTGTAATCCCAGCATTTGGGAGGCTGAGGCAGCGGGATCCTTGCAAGTTTGAGACCAGCCTGAGCAAAGTGAGCTCAGGCCAGCCTGAAATGCACAGTCAGACCCTATCTCAAAAAGACAACAAACTAACAAACAAACAAATAAACCAAATACAAATTGGTTTTGAAGTCACAAAGTAGCCTAGGCTGGTTTGGAATTCTTTTTTATTTTTTCCCCCTATCTTTTTGAGACAGGGTCTCACTATGCAGTTCAGGCTGTCCTTGAGCTCACATTGTAGCCCAGGCTGATTTTGAATTTGCAGTGATCCTCCTGCCTCAGCCTGCTGAGTGCTGGGATTACAGGCATGTGCCACATGCCCTGAAGTTTGGAATTCTTGATCTCCTTGCCTCAGTTTCCCAAATGGTGGAATCAAAAATGTGTAATACTGTACCCAACTTTATTGTATACAATTTGATGAATTTGGCCATATGCATATATCCATAATTCTATTATCACAATCAAGGTAATAATCATCTCTACCACCTCTAAATTTTCCTTGAGTCCATTCAGGAGGAAGACCATTATGGACTTAACATGACCTCTACCCTCTTACTTTATTAAGTTTGAGACAGGGTTTTCCTGTGCATTTTGGTTGGTCTTGAACTCACTATGTAGCCCAAGCTAGTTTTAAACTCATAGTGTTGCTCCTGCCTCTGCCTCCCAGGTGCTGGGATTACAGGCATGCACCACCACACCAAGTTTCTCTAAGTATATTTTAAGGTGCACAATACCACATTGTTAACTATAGGCACTGTGTCGTAGGGTGGCTCTCTAAAAATTAGTCATCTTGCATACCTGAAACTTTAGACACGCTGAGTAACAATTTTCCATTTCTCTGTTCCTTTGCCACTGGCAACCACCATTCTACATTCTGCTCTTAAGAGTTTGACTGTTTTAGATGCTGGGCTTTGTTGGCACATGCCTGTAATCTCAGCACTCAGGAAGCTGAGACAGGAGGATCACCATGAGTTCTGGGCTAATCTGGGCTCTATAGTAAGACTCTGTCTAAAAAATAAATGAAGAAACAACAATAAAGCAAAACAGAGTTTGACTATTTTAGACAAATCATTTAAGTACAATCATACACTATTTCTTCTGTGGCTGGCTTATTTCACTGGGCATATGTCCTCAAAGTTCATCCAGACTGTCAAAAATGGCAAGATTTCTTTCTTTTTATTTAAGTATTTATTTATTTTGGAACACTGGGGACTGAACCTAGGGTTTTTGCACTGAGCTTCATCTCCAGCCCTTTTTATTCCTTTTATTTTGAGCTAGGTTCTTGCTAAATTGCAGAGGTGGGACTCAAACTTGTACTTCTGCTCTGGTTTCCTAAGTGCTAAGATTACAGGAGTCCACCACGTTTGGCTTTCTTTTTTCTTTTTCTTTAAAATAATTTTTAGCATAAAAAATAATTTAATGCATTTTGTTAAAAAAAAATATAGAAATGGACTTTGCTAATGCTTCCCGTTCCACAGGCACATCTACAGTGCCCATTCATGGCCAAGCGGTTACCCAGGACTTACTTCTTCCTGTTCTGCTGGACGTGGGTCTGGAGCACAGCCATCGTGCTCTGGGTCGCCTCCGCTTCACTGCTGTGACTCTGTCCTGGGGTCCTACGGTGGCAGCTTCCTTGGCCCTGGATTCTTTCTCCCTCTGCAGGTGGCACTGTTCAATCTCAGCCTGAGCTGCTTCGGTCTGCGTCAGCCTCTGGTTCTTTTGCCTGTGGGCCTTGGACCCTTCCTGGGCGGCCCACTTCTTGGCCTGCAGCAGCAGCTGGATCCCCCAACACTGACTGGCCATGGCTACAGTGACCCCTGGCTTCATTTGTTAATAATAATAATAATAATAAGGGGCTATTTAGCTCAGCGGCATAAGCGCCTGCTTTGCAAGTGCGCAGTCGTTGAGTTCGATCCCTGGTACTGATAAAAAAAAATAGTAATAATAATTGCTCGAGATCAAACCTAGGACCTTCTGCCTGAAAGGTGGTGCAAGGTCCACCACTGAGCTCCATCTTCACCTTTAAATTGTTAGATGTTTGTGAATTGAGGTCTCACTGTATGTCCAGGCTGGCCTTGAACTTCTGGACTCCTTTGATCTTGATCTTTTCCCCCAGTGATCTTCCTGTATTTGCCTTCCCAGTAGCTGAGACTACCAGCACGTACCACCATACCTGGCTCTAAATTTTTAAGACTAAATCATATTCTATTGTATGCAGCTCAAAAAAAAAAAATGCAAGAAGTTCAGAATGTCCTTGTTAATCTCTCTGTAGCAAATATGAACTATAAAGTAAACAGACAAAGCTCTGTGTACAGGTTGGCAAGCAAATACTCCATTAGGACACACCGGGCTTTAAGGAGCAGGCACATCTGACTCGAGCCAATCACAGCAGGCCTGGAAGTAGCGGGCTCTTTTCAGTTACTAACAGCTATGGGACCCGCTTCATCCAAACCAGCGCTCTTTCCCCCTCCTGACACCACGCACCTCCTTGGCCCTGCCCTGTGAGAATGTGCCGTTTCCAGGGCACTGTATGTACTTACATAAAAAGAGACTGGACCTCGAGTATAAATCCTACACGAGATTGTAGAACCAGCTGTGAAAATAATGGCATCATTAGTGAAGGATTAAAACAGAGCCCATCTCAGCCCCAGAACAGGCTCTGTGAGCTTCCCACGTGGCTGCAGAGCCCGTGTCTGCCGAGGAAAGGACGTCTCCAGATGGGTTACGAGCGAGGTGCTTCAAAACTATCCAGGCACAAAGAAAAAATGCTGTCATCCATTTCCACATTTACCTTTCTCTATCTCATCTCCCCAAGTGTTGTGCGTCTGCCACATCCCATGTGATTTGTTCTCCTTCTCCTTCTAGGTTTCCAGCAACCCAACAGCATTTTCCGATGATCTGTACTATTGAGGACCCACTCCTCTCCTCTGGGCCTCGGATCACCTCTGGGCAAGTGAAGGATGGGCTCTCCGAGTCTGCTTGGTCCTGGAAAGTCCAAATAACTGAGGCCAGAGTAGCGCAGGATTCTTAGAAGTAGGAGTGCTTGCTTCAGCAGCACACACACTAAAATTGGGATGCTACAGAGAAGATCAGCGTGGCCCCTGTGCAAGGTGACACACAAATTCGTGAAGTTCCACATTTGAATAAAAAGAATGGGAGAGAAATGGAACATTGATGGGCAGGTCCTCTGAACAGGGACTTTGAAACAGGATAAATTCATGTCTTCTAGGAAGATACCTCTATCACAGAACAAATCAAAAGGCTTCTAAGAATATCTTCCAGGAAAATTACTGTTCTAAGGTTAATTCCTTTTTATCTCTAAACTGAGATTCATGATAGTCACACAACGAACTCCTTGCAAAGACTTAACAAAACGCCTAAGAAAGAGGTGGCACTTTCACCCTGGCAACAACCCCTCCTTAAGAGCAGTAAAGTCTGGCAACTGAAACCACTTCTAAGCCAGTTGTAGTGGGGCTTTCCTGTAATCCTAGGCTTCTGGGAGGCTGAGGCAGGAGGATGGCAAGTTCAAGCCCAGCCTGGACAACTCCGCAGTTTAACAGGACCTGAGACCCTAGTTCAGGGGTGTAGCTCAGGGCAAAGGCTGCTGTACTAAGCAAAAACAAATCCTTGAATACCAACTTTGTTCCAGGCACTGAGCAGAGCGCTTGACACACAGTGCTAGGAAGATGCTGTAACACAGTGTGAACGGAGTGGCCTTTGGAATTGGAGCCATATTCTAATTGTGGCAGAGTGAATCTCTTACCAAAATGTCTCTTCTCTTTCCTTCTCTCCTCTCCCTTGCCCTTTCTTTCTCTTCTCCCCTTTATTTTCTCTCTTTTTGAGAGAGAGAGAGAGAGACAGAGAGAGAGAGAGAGAGAGAGAGAGAGAGAGAGAGAGAGACTGAGATTCTCACTGCATAGTCCAGCCTGGCCTTGTACTCACAGGGATCCCCCTGCCTCAGCCTCCTCAGTGTTGGGATTATAGGTGTGTGCAAAAGACACCTGGCTCTAACCAAAGTTTCGTGGCTAGTCCTCTTCAAGCCTGTGAGCCTCAGCCTGATTTTGAGCGATGCCGAGACCAACTTCCCTACTGCATGTTCAGGGTTCAAATCCAGGACTTCGCACATGCTGAGCCAGTGCTCTCCTGCCGCCCTGTCCCTGCAGCCCTCCAGGCTTGTCCTTCACCTGCTTCCAGGCCGACGAGCCGCAGCCCCCAGGGCCTTTTCTGTGGGGCTGTATTCAAGGGACCCTCAGGCTGTAGCACCGCTGGGACCTCTTCAGAGCCTCAGTTTGCGCAAAAACCCTCGCTGTGAAAACGAGGGCCGTGGGGGAGCCACCCATGGGAAGCTGCGATTTTTTCCTTCTCCTCGTGGCTGCCCCACTGGAGACTGTGAGGCCCTTTCACGGCGTGCCAGAGGGTGCTGACCCCGTGTGATTCTGCACGCATCTGTGGGGTTGATGGAGCTGAAAATCAGTGTGGAGGTTAAAACGCATCTGCCAGCCCAAGCAGTAGATGAAAATCTCCTTCTGTCACTGGTCTTGGTTTTCTTAGGCCCCGTTTGTAGCACATAAGGGTCACACTGGTCAGGGCGCAACACACCCCAGGGCTCTGTCCCTCCCCTTCCCTTCCGCTCCCACCACCTCATTTCCCTTCCTGTTTGCAAAAAGCTCTACTTCCATTTTCTTCCCCCTTTGAGTGTTTTTTTTTTTTTCCTCACCGCTTTTCCCTTCCTCCTCTTGTTCTTGCTCTGCTTCCTATGGAAAAGGCCTCCCTATTGCCATCTTTTATAGGCAGGGAGCACAGGTGGAGGTTTGTTAAAAATACACATTCGCACTGGCCAGCACTCTAGAGAGGCTGAAGCAGGAGGCTCCTAAATTCAAGCTCAACCTGAGAAATGCAGCAACTTAGTAAGACCCTGTCTCAAAAGAAAATTTTAAAAAAGAAGAAGAAAGTACATTCACAACTATCTTTCCCACTCCCTCAGGTTTCTGCAGAGATGAGAAATGCACATTTTAAAGCCATCTCTGACTGATTTTTTTTTTTTTTTCTTTTGGAGCGGTATGGACTCTAAACTGGTTTCAAACTCATGACCCTGCTGCCTCAGCTTCCAGTGCTGGGATTATGGTGTATACTACCTCACTTGGACTCCACATGAATTAATCAATTTTGTTATTGTTACTTGATACAGGGTCTTGCTATGTAGTTCAAGCTGGCTTTGAACTTACTATGTAGCCCAGGCTAGCCTCGTACTCATAGTAATCTTTCTGCCTCAGCCTCCCAAGTTCTGGGATTACAGACACATGCCACTATGCCGGGCTCCCAGGCAAATGTATTTCACCCTCATTTGTTTGCTTGCTTGCTTGCTATTTTGAGACAAATTCTCACCATATAACTCAGGCTGTCCTTGAACTCACTATGTAGCCCAGGCTGGCCTTGAATTCATGGTATTCTTCCTGCCTCAGCCTCCCAAGTGTGCTAGGTTAATTTTAAATTTAAGACATTTGAGGAGGTTTTCAAGGCCTTGTGTCTAAGGCATGTAGATGTGGATCCCTTGACTAGCCTCTGAGCCTCTGTGAGCTCGTTTACATGTGAGTACTGTGGGCTAACGACTGCACAACCGGAGCTCCTGCTCATGGGGAGTCCAGGTGTGGCAGCATGCAGCTATAAATCCCAGCACTGGAAGGCTGAGGCAGGAGGATCATGAGTTTGAAAGCAGTTTGGACTGGACCTCTCAAAAAGCCAGAAAAAAAAAATCACCCAGAGATGGCTTTAGAATGAGATAATGGTGTCCATCCTCAAGGAAGACTAGATGCAGAGTGCTCCTTCACGTTTATCAGCGGTGAACAGTGTGGCCTGAGTCAGAAGACATCGTCCATCATGACAGGGCAGCGCTCCTCTTTGCGAGTGGACAGATACATCACAGCGACAAATTCCACAGAGCAGGGTTCTCGTCCTTTCTGCAGGCAATGCCCTTTGAGAGTTTCTGATGCAATTTCTACTCCAATTTCATTTAAGAAAAAATCTTAGGATTCTGAGTGGCTTTTCTGACTCACATTGCCCTTTGCACAGTTCTTGTGTGTGTGCGTGTGTGTATGTGCATGTGTGTGTGTATGTGCATGTGTGCGTGTGGATTCACTGTTCACTGGATCCTTGCAGTAACTCAGTGAAGGGAGAGGTGATTTGGGAAGCCGAGCACACAGCGTCATGGAGGGTGCTATGGACCTGGAATCTGGCTCATAGCTTTGGTGCCTGTTGGATCCCAGCCTGGGTAATGTAGAGATTTAGTAGGACCCTGACTCAAAACAAAAAATAAAGAGGGGCCGGGGATGTAGCCCAGTAAGAAGGCCTTGGGTTCAATGACTCACATACACCCACATTCAACAATGATGCGAAAGCCTGAGTTTGAGCGCATTCTCCATGAGGGAGCCTGTTTCAGATGCTCATGCTCCTGTGCCCCTCCCCTTGATTGGTGGGGGTCCCCCAAGGCCAAGCTCATTCCCCCAAAGGTAGCTGGGGAGGTGGTCTCACAGGTACAGGTCCCTTGAGGATGGATGGAAGCAGCTCCCAGTGAGGGGGACAGAGGCAGAGACCTGGAACAGAGCAGGTGACTACAAACTGCTTTTCCCAGTGCACCGCAGTGGCCTGGGCTGCTTCTGATGGGGCGAGGGTGGGGGGGACTGAGCCATGAAAAAGATGAGACAGCCTGTCACTGGGCGAGGGTGAATTTGAAGATTAAGAGGGAAGAAAGGGTGAGAACAGAAAATATGAAGACACAGACTAAGAGCGATCTGGTCTATCCAATAAAAAGACCTCTTCTTCCTCTGCAAAGTCTGATGTGACAGAGGAGCCACACCCCGGGGCAACCCACTAACAGACAAAGGAAGGTGACTCCTTATAAGATTTCCACAAGGTCTACTGCAGGAACCTTCCAGAAAGGCACGAACAAGCTGTGCTGGCACGCTTCTATTATCCTAGCTCCTTGGGATGCTAAGGCAGGAGGGTTGTGAGTTTGAGGTCAAGCTGTGCAACTTAGGGAGACCCGTTCTCAACAAATGAGAAAAGGTTAGGGGTACAGCACAGTGACAGAGCACTTGCCTAGAGTACAGGCCTTGGGTTCAGTGTCCAGGAAGATACAAACTGTATGGACAATGCCCCCCTGGTGTAAGTAGTGTTACACAGATGGTAATGACTAGGGACTCGGGACTCATCTTTATTGTGCATGTTTTTTAGACAGGATCTCACCCTGTAGCCCAGGATGCCTTGAACTCATGGCTATCCTCCAGCCTCAGCCTCCCAAGTCTTGGGGTTACAGGTATACACCACCATGCCCGGCTGTGACTCCCTTTTAGAGGCTGGATAAAGTCTTGTAGAGAGTTGGGAAGTCCCTGTAGGTGTCAATTTCGTGCCCTGTGGGCGTGTGCCCAGCAGAGGGGCTGCTACATAGGTGCACCCATGTGCTGATGATCCAGAAAAAGACAGACAAATACTGCATGACCTCACTCATACACAGGACCTAAAAAAAGCTGAACATGCAGAAGCAGAGAGAACAGCGCGTGTGGGAGGCCTGGGAGGGAAAGAGAAGGAGGATAAAAAAGCATGAATGTGTAGTTCCATGGGATGAAGATATCTGGACAGTTACTGGAGAGCATGAGGTCTCTAGCCAGTAAGATTGCGCTGTATACTGAAAGTTTGCCGAAAGACTATTTCAGGCGCTGTTCTACACAACAGGTGTATCTGCGGGATTGGGGATGGAGCTCAGTGTTAGAGCACTTGCCTAGCATGTGCAAGGCCCCTGGGTTTGATCTCCAGCACTGCAAAGAAAAAAAGATGATTATGAAAGACGATGGATAAAGTAATCAACTGTAGTTAATCATATGCACACTAACATCATGTTAAAAAATATATATATATGCTTAAAAAGAAAATAAATACTAGAATGTATGGGTGGGAAAGGGATGAAGGAGAAACCCACAGAGTAAAACAATTTAAGAGTTACCAGGGTTTTGAAAAAGGATACACCATGCATGGTGGCACATGCCCAGCACTCTGGGAGGCCGAGGCAGAAAGATTACATGTGGAAGCCCAGTCTGGTGATGTAGCTCAGTGCAAAGGCCCTGGATTCACTACTCAATACTATAAAGACGG